ATCTCTCGCACTGTGTAGTGTGTTTCCGTGGATACTGTCATCGCATTGATGTGGAGTGTCACTATTTAGCAAATGTACCTGGCGATGTGTACGATACACCAAGTATTCAGTGTATAATTGCTGTGTATGTTGGGTTGTTGGGTTAGGGAAGAGACCCGAAGATGAAGAATGTGGGGTCGCGTATCGAGTACTTTAGCGTTGTTTCTGTTTTATTTCATTTTGGTGTTTACAAATAAGTAAATGGCAGAGACCATGCCGTGTGATGCCGTGTGCCTACATATCAAACGGCCGGTTAGTTTGAATCGTCGAGTATGTACAACGCTATACGCGTTGAAAACGCTGTAACGAATGATAATTGTTTCGAATACCATAATGTGTACCGTGTACTGATGCCATTTGCAAACTCTCCTGTAGGTTTCTTCAGTATACATGAGATTGCTCTCCTCCAGTGTTCGGTAGGGGTTCTACTTGCATACATCATACGTCACGTATTTATCCGGCTCCGAACTAATTCTGTGGCATTTTTTTCCTATCTGTACAGGGACCTGTATATGCCGCCGGGTTTTCTCCTGATTCGCCCTTTGTGGTAGCGGCAGGCGGCGGCAAAGGTAAATTAAAGGTTTGGAATCTCTACGACGAATCACCGCAGAGCTTCGCCCGCTTTGATGAGAGACTCAAGGCATTACAAGCGTAAGCCACGGCTAGAGTTTAAAACTCTACAAATAAAGAGATGACACTGATCGTAAATACCTGAAACGTCCGCCACCTCCAAATGAGAGATCCCGTTCGTGTGATCTGCATAGGGCATAAAATAGACCATACAGTTTTAATATTTCTATCGTACTTTAATTTCTAAAAATCGTATGAATTACATCGATCTCGAGATCGATCAATGACAATCTTTTAATACCGATTCAAAAAAATATATATTTAAAATATTGGCGATGTGGATATTTGTCTACCGTGCGCCCCGTGTGGTGAGTGGTCTACTTCTCAGAGAATACTAGAGAGGGGCAAAAATAATGATATATATTTTATATTGCTGTGATGTTTGATATTTGTCTACCGTGCGCCCATGTGCCAGTGTGGTGAGTGGTCTTCTTCTCAGAGAGGGGCAAAAATAATGATGTATATTTTATATGGCTGTGATGATTGATATTCGTCTACCGTGCGCCCCGTGTGGTGCCTGTGAGTGTATGCCTGTGTGGTCGTCTTTTCAGCGAGGGGCAAAAATAAAGATATATATAATTTATATTGCTGTGATGTTTGATCTTTGATGGTGGTTGAGATTATTTCGATTACCGTGCGCCATGCGATGGACAGCTTTGATAGTTCAGCAACTTGATTTTTTTAACGTGATTCTTCACCAATCTCTTTCTTGTTAGTATAGCATAGACAAGAGAGAAGAGTATGTCGCGCTTCAGTTGCCAATGACTACCGTGACACGGGTGATATATTTTGTTTGAATTTCAAGTCTAATTTAGAGGGCTAAGGAATATTTTATAGAAAGTAACACCCAAAAAAAACTCACAACAACAGTCAACAGGTCAATGTTTTTATATGCAAGAAAAAATGAAGGCATACCGCACAATCCCTGTGAGGCTATGACCCATCGAGAAACTCGTGAAGATGACCAATTTCCAAACAAAAGGGCAATGAGCATAACAGCGGCTTTTTAAAAAAAAACATAAAACATATAGGAACATGGTTTACTATTGACTCTTCTAGCTTTTAAAAAAGAGTAAACTAAAAGTTGACTAAAACGGAAAAACAATCACAGCAGGGGTTGTAGATCGCTACGTCATCTCTAAGCAAGAGTAGAATATACGTGAATAGGAATAGCAGCATGATTCATGATAATTTTATTTGTTGTACATCAATCAATTAAAAAATCTCATTAGTTATATCTAGCTACTCATCTGATATGTATTGATCAATGAAATTGTGGTTGGAACTGCATTATATTTATTCTTTATTCTGATTGATAATTGACAATATAAAGTTTAAAACCAAGCAGGTTTTACTTTTGATATATGTAGTCTTCTTGTCTTCCCTGAGTAAAATATTGAATATTGGGATTTGGATTGTGGGACAGTGGGAGTGCAGGACAGCAGAAGTCATTACTGATTACATCACTATGTCAGAATCCGACAGGCAGGAGTTACAGACGGGTCACTGGACTCAGTGGACTGCTGGAAGCTGTAACGTCATTGATGTTGTACTCAGAACTTCAGAAGTGAAAGGTCAAAGTGCAACTCGACACTGACTGACTGACAGCTCTACCCTGTATTTTATTCATTGTTTTCACTTTTCAGGCTCTATCAGAGTATCACCAGTCTATTTCTCTTGTCTCTCTACTAATACTATTTATTAGTAGTAGAGAGTCTCCTACGTGTCTTCTCTCTCTCTCTTGTTGATTTTGTGTATTGCGCGCGCGCGCGCGCGTGTGTGTGTGTGTGTGTGTGTGTTGCGTGTGTTTGTGTGTTTATGTGTGGATATGTGGAGGGTGGAGTGTGGATTGTGGATTGTGGACTGTGGACTATCAAGTACATGTGTCAAAAGTCTGCAAAACAGTACAAAAGAGAACTGAAGAGAGAGTAGAGAGTAAAGACTCAGACTCTCAGCGAGACAGTGAGTCAGTACATACCATGGTGACAGTGGGCATGCGCCATTTGCTGGCCGATCCACGACTCCATGAGTCTATTCCAGCAGTAATCCTGACATCCTGACCCCTGGGGCTCTGAGTCCCTAACCCAGTGTCGCAGTCCCCACTCCCCAGGCCCAGGGGCCCAAGCCCTAAGGCCCCACCCCAAGCCCTACATACTAGTAGACTCCCAGCGTCCCAGACTCTTAAGTCTCCTGTACCCACAACCCACTAAATCCAGAATCTCCAGTTTAGACCCCAATCTCCACTCTCCCCAGTCTGGATTCTCCAATCTTCCATTCTCCACGTGTACACAGTGTCACAGTCACAAACACACCCGAAGTCGTTTCTCCTAGACTTTCTGCTCTCTGGGGGGGGGGGGGGGATAAGGGGGTAAGCCGGAAATGGAAACAGCGATTGACTGATTGAGTAATTTTAAAGCTTGTGTGGGGGGCTGGGCCCCTTAGGGGGCAACAGCCCATCGGTTGGGGACTACTAGCATTTCGAAAACGGCAGTACATACATACATAGAAGTAAAACCCCACCAAGGCACCAACTACCAACAAGTGAGACCAAGAGAGTCCAACACAGAAGAGAATATGTAAAAATAAAGGAAATAACAAGTCCCAACGCCCAACTCCTAACTCCCGCTCCAACCCCAGGCAAGTCGGCTAGTGGCCCAGCGCCGGCCTGGGCCAGCCCACTCCAGCGGCCTGCGGCCTGCGGGCATTAAAAAAAAATGTTGGTATGTACATAGTCGCGCTCGGCCATTTGGCCTATTGTTTTGTTTTTTATAAAAAAATCAAACAAATAAAATAAAATTACAGGGTAACACTCAGACTCTCAGAGTCTCAGACACAGGTATAAGAGAGAGAGAGTGAGTAGAGAGCGAGAACCGTGCGCCCGAGACTTTTTACTAACTAGAAGTAAGAATAGGAAAACCAGTATGTATTTATGACAACTTTCTTTCAAGAATATCCTTTTGTTAAAAAAAAATCATCAGACATCACAGTGATCACACTTATCACAGTCATAGACACGCGAGGTAATGATGGATTGATGGCGTGTATGATTGTATATACAAATGCGGTCGAGACTTCAGTCGAGAGTCTCGAGAGACAGTGTCTCGACTGTCGTCTGCCTTATTTTTTTTTGACAAACAATTTTGAAGTTGTGTTCTGTCAGTTCTGAGGACTGAGAGTCTGAAGTCTGATCTCTGAAACTCTCGTGTCTATTTTTATTTTTAATCCGTATATAGTATTTGATATACTATGGTCCGTACATACTCTCGTATAGACTATATTATATCGAGAGCATTGGAGCAGGTCGGTTATAATCAGCCATTCAAATATGCACATCTGGAGGCTGGGGCATGGAGGTATGTCCAGGCTCCGACTACTGAGCTAGAGCAGGTGCATCACGTCATAATTTCGCACCGTAGCTGATTCGTGGAGAGGACCTTTAGATTTTCAGTGTTGTGTGTCAACTGTCATCTGCTACAACCTTTATAATTTATTTGTCTGTATTCACCTCTTGCCAGGAGATAGCATTCGTCGCTTCTATATTTAAAAAGTGAACATTGTGGCAAAAGCACAATCACAAACACTCTTTACACTGAGAATCAGTCACACTACACTTGTTGTACACTGCGCATCAAAAAGTAACTGACACAATATGAAATTCTCAATCGTTACACTTATAACTGTGTTCTCCTTGGTAAGTGTCATATCTGCAGCGTCAGTCCGATCCAACGGGATGTTACACCAATTTGAGCCTACAATTAGTGATGTGTATGAGACCATAGAATTCGACACGGAGTTGGACGAAAGTTTGAATGTGCCTAATTTTGGCGGCTTCTAGATCCGGATACAATCCTGAGAAGCGTATGAATTTAAAAATGACAAACTCTGTGAGGGAAGATCTCGTCTGCGTGGAAGTCAAGCCTCGCAGGCATCTGGTTGGCGAAATGGGATATCGTAGAAAATTCAAGGTTTGACAAATTATAAACCGAGAGGGTGCTTGTAGCATGCTCATCCCGTGAACCGTGACTCGGAAAATACTAGCTTATGGACTCTTGAGAGTGAGGTTTAGCTGGTTAGTCTATCCATCTCGAGTCGATCGATGAGGTTGCCGGCTTGCTGTTCAGTCAAACGTTAACAAGCTAAAAAGCTGACGAAGAGATTCCGATCATGAATGCACTTAACACCGCCCCGCTAGCTACTTAATCTGATAATGACATACATTAAATCACAATGAATCTATTTTGAACTGGGACTAGCGATGCAAGAAACCAGTTTTGTTACGACATATACTGGTAATATTATTTTACCTGTACTAAATAGCAGCATATCTCACATTTGGTATTGCTATTGCTTGAACGATATTCAAAATTGTGCCTTTATATATTATTATCGTCCTGGATTTTCCTTTGCGATTTAAGTCGTAATGCACGTGTAATTACTTTTTACAAAATGGCTGTATTACCAGTCTTGCATTGTAAAATTCTCCTAGAAACGTGTTAATGCGAAACACTTATTTTACCTTTTGTTTTTCTGGCCATCTCAGTGGTGCGCAAGCAATGGATTTGACTCACCTACAGTGCATAACGATCAAATCGTTCACAGCATTCGATGTGCAGTTCTCCCGACAATGCTTATGTATGCCTCGCTTACAATAGCGCAAATAAACTTATCGTATGACCCACTGGAGGACGGGGCACTCTCTAAAATCAATGATATCCTCTAGGACTAATTTTTTATTTGTCACTTCCTCCAGGACTAATTTTTCATTTGTCACTTCCTCCAGGACTAATTTTTCATTTGTCACTTCCTCCAGGACTAATTTTTCATTTGTCACTTCCTCCAGAGGGCCACCATGTTCATCGCCAGTAAATTCTTTATTCTCGAGACTAGAGTGGTTCAAACCGAACTTTAGTTGAGTGATGGTACCCAATATCATTGTTTTTGTTACATCACTGATACGAGGGGAAAAGTGACACAAAAGTAGCGGCTGAGAAGTGACATGATCGCTGCATGATCCAAGTATAAAAGGTATCGGAGTCGAATGCCCATAGTTAAGTCACCAGTGCAGAGAGCTTAATACAAGTGTATCTATAGAGCGTTCGCAGACAAATGTAACTAAAATATTTATCGGGTTGCCTCTTAGCAGGCTTCTTGTTGTCGCAAGAGAAGTATGAGCGATCGTGTTCACGACTACAATTATCGAAATGAAAAACCCAGAAGGATAATTAAAAAATGTGCTTTGTTTAAAATCAACGTCAAGAGGTCTTCGAGATGCAATAGGATTGTCTGTTTACCATATTCGATCGATTGTCATAATCTTTCACAGTGATCTGAACCTACACTGACGTGTTAACAGAAATATATGGAACTCAATAAAAACCAATATAGTTAGGCAAAATATTTCAGTGTATTTAATGAGCTATTCGCATCCTTATTTAGACTTCGCAGCATGATTTCACATGTGTTCAACAGATATACATGTTTACCCCAGAAATCTTACACAGCTTCTTTGCAGCGGAGTTGATACGTTTCTCAACCGTCGAGATATCTTTGATGTCACCCATACTCTGAATTCCAATCATGCAAACCAGTTTCCGCAGCTCTGGTCATCTTTGTTTTTCTTATCTGCAGTGATGGCGCATCTCAGAACGGTGGATTCTATTACGGGCGTTCAAAGCTTGACTTAATTGCCTCAGCTGAGTTGAGCACTTCGACTCCGACGAAACAACTTTTCAGTCCATCTGCTAGTATCTTGATTCTGGTGGTGAAACTGTTGAAGCTATTAACAGCGACTTATTAGCTACACCTCGAGGTTTGCATGTAGTCGCAGATATTCGTGGCGGCTCCACTCAGAAGCCGCCAAAACTGGGTAACGTTAAACTTTCATCTAACTCGGTATCGAACTCCATAGCTTCATACACATCGCTGACCACCGGGTCCGCGTACTCGGAGATTTCATCGAGGGTAACAGGCGCGGTATTAGCACAAGCGACTAAAGTCGCAACAGTGAACAGGATTATAGTGTAAAATCTCATCTTCGATTTCGTAGACTTGTAGAATGTAGCGTCTGACTGACATACTTTACTGTACAACTACTGGATATATATTGAAATACATTCTACCAACTCTTCTACTTATTACACTCATGCCAGGCAGGCAGGCACAAAGGGAACATTTTTGTTTTTATAAAAAAAGTGTTCACTTTTTTGGGTTGAAAACATTTTTAAATGACAATCTTCCATCAAGTTCCCCCCCTGGTGTGTATTCTTGCGTGTATTTGTGCTATTTTAAATATATTTATTTAAAAAATAAATAAACAAAGCTAAAAAAAACACAGATACAAATGGAGAACACTTACCGGACCTCGTGTGTGTCTGAGTGATAGGTACTTCTGGAATAAAACTTATGTATCGTTTCTATTGTTACCTCTAAACCAATGGGTAATTGGTCCACACACTCACGGTCTGCCATGGGCCAACTTTTCACTTTTGTGTCTTTTGATTTCAATTTTGGTTTGAATTGTTCCACTCTCAGAGGTGCTCTACGTGGTCAGCTCACGTGAGTCATTGCTTCGTAATTCATTATTTATAATTATTCATTTCTAAAAAAAACAACATATTTGTTTTTAAAAAATGTACTAATAAATACGTGCAGAGTAGCACTGTATGTATGTATTTACTTTCTATTTTCAGCTGCTTTTAAATAGACCCTTGACATTTGACAGTCTGATTTAAAAAATATATATATATACACAGTTCACACCCCACACTAAGCTCAATTCGTTACGAAAAGGACATATATACGGTCAACGTAAATGCTCAATATAGCGTTTTTTGAGTCAAATATGGTTGATAAAACTTTGAAAATTGCACTTGCAAGATGTACCTATTTCCTACAAAACGGACTATGTTGCTTAAATTCGCTATTGTTGGCGACTACTTCTGGCGCCAAAATGTAAGGTCATAATGGGATCATGATATGACTTCATGTATGCACCCAGTTAAATGCTAGATGGACTAGATGGTACATAAAAGTTGAACGTAAATCGGAAATTTAGAAGATATTTATAAACGTTGTATTGGATAGCGTTTTTGGCTTAGCTCCACAGACCACAGACCACAGACCACTAGCTACAAGGCCAAGGCCACAGCTGCAGCTAGACAGATCACTAGAGACTAGAGAATAGAGAGGTAAAAAAAAAAAGAGGCCCCACGCGGGGCCCACGGTCTTATTTAAAACAAAATATATCGTTTTTTTAAACGTTTATACGTAACCAGATTACCAGACACGTCCACGACTTCCCTCACTCCTGTTCATCGTGTTCATGCGATGCATAACTGCATGAACCAATAGAGTAATCAACTACAAATTCTTTTGAAATGTTTTTCAAAAAAGTCTAGAAAAATCCAAAACCTTATTTTAGTGAATTAGGTTTACTTCATTTTTAAAAAATAAAATCGTGTCCCCATAGTACATAATTAAAAAACAAAACAAAAAACAATACAATTGTGCATTCACATAAATATATTATTTTGTTTTGATTTTTTATAAAAAATACATAGCCTTCTGAAAAAAGAACAAAATATGTATTTTTAGAGAAAAAGAAGATATAAAATTGATAAGCCTACTTCTCAAGTATTTATAATTTATTTAGTATAGAAAGGCTATGTATATATATTTACTATGAGCCAGTGTGAATGAGACAACTCAGGCACTCACCTCTGTCACCAGTCAGGCAGTCACCACACCGTTTGTTGTTATCTATTTATAAAAAAAAAAGTACCAAAAAAAAGGTGCCTTTCTCTCTCTATTTACTACTAGTCTCTCTCTAGCCTCTCTACTAAAAACGACAATACGAAATAAATACTGAAATTGGCCCTCTTCGCATTCGGCTGGCCCTGTGCAGACAAAGAAGTCCACGTGCCTCAGGCCTAACCTCAATAAGTTTAACGTTATAACTTCTATTTATCAAAAGGTTAACGATAAAAATCCAACGTTTATATCTGATAGGTACAGTCTGATATATTATAGATGCATTTTCCAGGTTAGGTTGGTGTCAGATATTTGTCCTGTTTGTTCAGTGCGCACATTTATCAATACCCCCGCCACTTTCCTAAAAAACCTACAACTTGCAACATATATTTTGTTATGTGCGTGTTCAGAAGCTTCTCCGAGCGGTTCAATCTCAGAGCTGGAAATTTGTGCAAAGTGTACGTGAATATGTAGTATATACTTGGAGAAATGTCTAAAAGAGACTTCATAGTTGTTTGTTGTGCACATCAATGACAATACGGACCAGGTACTTCGAGGAGACGAAGGTTAACTAAGTGATCCACTCAAAATGTGGGTATTGCCAAATGTCAAGTCGAATAGTTGTAGATTCTGATTGGCTATTACGCATTTCGTGGCCCAAAATTTTCAAGAATAGGGCAACTTGTCGAGTGCAAATTTGAAAAAAATGATAATTGATTTGTCCCAAATAAAAGCTATAACTTTTATTTATCAAAAAGTTACCGTTAAAAATACAACGTTTACATCTTGCACGTCTAACTTATTGACGTTAGCCTCAGGCCCTCAGGGCCTCAGACCTCAGCCCACATGCCCTTGCATGCGGCCTGCTGTATCAAAATTCATCAACACACAGACTCCAAGAGATACGATATTATAGTTTTTACCGATTGAGCTTGCTTCATTGAAGGATCATGATTAAATTAGTGATGATGTTGACACGTTACCCAATCATATTTTATTTGGGAACGGCCAAGTTGGATGTCAGAGGGCTCCAAAGGCATCGGGTGCTTTTTATAATTTTGGACAACAGTGAGATTTTTTCTCAAAATCAGACAAATGTATTTGTAACAGGACTTTAGAGTAGGAAGGAAGTAGAAAGGTTGGAACACAGACCCAGTGATGACTGATGAGACCACTTGTCAGGTACTTGTCACAACAGTTCACATATCACAACTTCACAAGTTCACACTGATAGATTAGATTTGGAAACCAAAAAGCCAGAAAACCAAAAAGCCAGAGTTCGAGTAAGAATTCCAAATTGACAACTTAAAAAAATATACATAAGTCATTGGTTGTATAGTCACATACTAGCAGAACAGCGAGGAGAGTAAATTTTATTTAATAAATTACAAAATTAGCCATATCAGCTATTAAAAAATCAAGAGAGTCAACAGAAATACTTTGATTTGTATTAACCAATGATAAGGATTAATTGTAAATTATACGTTGTTCCTTGTCCAAATACATGCTACAAAATACTAAAGCACATCATTCATGGCCCTCAATAGGAGAAGTATGTAACAGGAATAAAATATAAAATAAATGATACGCTGACTCAAGTCTCCACTATCGCCCTGTCAGTCTGTAGTCTGTACTCTGTACTCTATAAGCTGGTCGCGACTCGCGTACGCTGAGTCGCTGAGTCGCAATGAGTTGCTGCGGGCCCGCGGGCCGCGGCTGAGGGGCTGACAACGACTGCTGGGCCTGGCAGTGTAAATCGGCCTGGCCGCGAGAGAGTGGATTGTTGAATCATTGGATGCTGACATTGCTGAGTTACTATTTTCTTACTCTTAAGTCTGAGTACTCTAGCTAGTGGGATTATGTGAGTACTGAGTAGTGTGAGTCAGTGATTGTGTGACTGTGAGTGTGAGTCTGTGAGACTGTGAGACTGTGTCAGTGAGTGTGAGACTATGAGTCCTCTCTTCTATTAGTATAGACTATAGACCTGACCGAGGAACACATACAAATAAACGTAAAAGTACATATTATTGTTTTCAACGTTTTATACACGTATTTATTATTTTAGGAAATACAAATATATGTACATAATTAAAATTAGGAATATTTTATATATATGCCATATTTATGAAAAATATATAGCATATTTATTTCATATTTCATATCTTCCTAAAAATATATTTCATGCATGTTTCATATTTAGTATTTTTCTAAAAAAATATATGTCACATATTTATTATTTCTCTTATATAATTTCCTCATATTTATTATTTCGCCTATATTTCCACATAAATACTTCATGTTATTGTGTTTTGACATAGCTTGCTATTTAGTATGTGTGACGATTGTTGATACTAAAAGTAAAAAACACATTGATAAACAGTCCTATGTATATGCGCAACACATATGCACAACGTAGTATAGTAATATACTAAGTATGAACATATATAAGGAGCTTACACTTGGTTTATGTACGCTAAAAAGATAAAAGATCTATATAATAGATAAATCAAGAGTTATATGACATCTAAACACGCATTTTTGTAATGTCATTATTCTGAGTCATAAAGCTCGACAGAGATCATTTAGCAGTGAAGCATGAAGATGTACAGATTAGGCTGCACTTGAATACTGTGCACTGGGATGGCATATGTGGGCATGTGGGCTTATATTGCCATTGTATATAAGTCAAATAAACTAATGATATAAGTGTTGACTTGTGTATATAATATATGTGATTGCTTGTCATTATTTCAACACCACACCACAAGTATAAAACTGGATTGAATTTTTTTGCCACCTTTTTTTGTTCGAAAAATTAATGAATTTTCAAATTGGTAACAATTTGCCACCTTATTTGAAAAAGGTGGTCAACATGCGTCGAGCGGAAACAGGTTAAATTGCAACTGACGCTATACTACTGGTACGATAGCTCTGAAATTGGTAACAGAGCTCAAGGACAATACTATTGATAGGTGTAAACAATTATTTGTATACCTGTGAATTATAAAGTTCACAATGTCCCTTCTGGCAGGATATGTGACAAGTGTGGATTACGTCTTCTGTGACCAAGTTGCGCTCAAGATCGAATTGGCATGTATTGTGAAAAAACTTTTTTCGGGTATCACCCGACTACAATAGTGTCAAAACGAGTGTTCAACATGTGGGTTTGTAATTTTTGATGATGTTTCGTCCTATTTGGTATAATTCCAATTACAGGGTCTTACACGCATACTTGCGAAGTTACACAACTCTATATATGGATACATACGTCCATGTAAACACACACACACACATATATATATATATATAAATATACAGACGATAATATATATATATATATATATATATATATATGAAATATAGTATATTTCAGAAATATGCCATATGTACAATATACATATTCACGAAATATATAATATAACATAGTATATGAAAGAAAATGTAAATGCGATATTTTACATCAGCTATAAAACAGCTACTATACACCTGTACAATTCCTTTAAAATAGCTACAAACTACAGCCACTCTGCCTATAAATTATTCTACTATAACTACAAAATACAGTCATTATGCCTATACAAATCCTTTGATAGAACTGCAAGATACAGGCTATATGCCTATACAATTCCTATAATACAGCCGTGAAATACTATATACTATATTTCGTAAATATATATATATATATATATTGTACATTGATATGGCGTATTTCATAAATATGGCATATTTCAGAAGTACGGCAATTTCATAAATAAATATACCATATTTCAGAAATATGGCTATTTTAGAAATGTGGCATATTTATAAAAAAATGGCATGTTTTAGAGATATGGCATATTTTAGAAATATGGCATATTTATGGCATTTTCAATTTTTATAGACCATATATTATTATTTTTGCCATATTTCTGAAATCAACACGCGTTACTCAATTTGATATATATATATATATATATATATGTGTGAAAATTTCAAACATTTATAAATCGAATAGAAATACGTTTTAACGTTATTTTTATTCCATATGCGGTCCTTTGTATGCTCATATCTGTATTTTAGAAGGCTAAATATGGCTCATAGGTGTATTTTTCGGGTCTGAACATTTGAAATGAGCAGTAGTCAACTGATACAACACAAAAATATATTTAGCAAAAATGTAGAAGGCTACTGTATTTACTTTATTTTTGTATTTTGGGTTGTTATTTATTTTAAGAAATGTAACTTGTTTTTAAAAATAAATAAATAGAAATATATATATATATATTAATTATATATATATACTTTTTTAAAAATATATACTTATTTATGTATTTATATTTTTGGTTTTTTAAAAACAAAAGTATAATAAATTATGCGTATCTATGGAAATTGGGAGGATAATTTTGAAAAAAGGTAGCTAGGCGATGTAACTAGGCGAGGGATAAACACCTAGTTGAGGTTAGAAAAACTAAGTTGACAATGAGTCACGTTTGAAAAGTTCAAATACTACAGATTTTGATTTTTGAATCAATCAACAAATATGAAGTTTTCAAGTTAAAACAATAATAAGAATAAGAATATTGAACTAGGGCTCAGGGCTCAGGGCCTCAGGCCTCCCCCCCCCCGGTTCGGTTTTTACTTTCTTTTTTATGTGTTTGTACAAAAAAAACAAAAAAAAGGATGGATCCGAAAGGCCGGGAGGGGGTATTTTGAAAATAAATACAAACACAGTGGAGCCGTGGAGGGCTGGAGCCTGGAGGCACTCTCTCTCTAGAGAGAGAGCAGAGTAGTAGTAGAGAGAGTCAGTGGAAGGATCATCATTCATCAAGAGGCCAGCGACTATGAGAGCCATACCATATGTTCATACATTGTATCATACATACTTGCCATTTTTGAAAAAATAATATTATCCCTATAGAGGCCAAAGGGCAACCCTTCCCGAAGTCTGAGATCTGACTGTCTGACTCCCGTGTCCTGAAGTCCCCCGTGGGTCTGGACCCGATACGACGTAAATATCTTCGTCAGGACGCGCGTACATAGATGTTGTGAATTGTACAATTGAATTCGTATTAGAATATGGCTTTTTAAAATAAACGTAGCCTCCACTACTCGAGAGAGAATGCGCAACGTACAAATATAAATGGTAATCAAGAAAGTTTTCCATAACAACACTCATTGCCTTATATTGTCAGTATCATTAATATGCCACAATCTACTGTTGAGACCTATATTGAGCCCGTCGAGGAAACACTGTCACCTGCAGACGCTACAATCGTTAGTAAGTTCAGTTCAGTTCCAGTGGTTAGATCATTGTTCAGCTGGACAAGTTCTTTGTATACACAAGCCAAAAAAAATAATTACACTTTCAAGCAGGCAGCTATATATACTGAGGGTAAATTGGGCGAGGTAACCGAGTATATCTTACCCACACTCGAGTCCGAAGCTGTTGCCGAGAGCTTAAACACAGTTGATACCTATATGTCAACACAATTTGACAAATTGGTTGACGCGTACCCCTCCGTAAACACTCCCACAGTAGAGGTGGTCGCTGCTTGTAACGCACAAAAAGATATTCTCATCGAAAAAGTCCTAGTGGTGAACGCGAGTGTGGTAGAATCTATAACGCCACACACGGAACAGGCCAAAAGTTTGGTGACGGCAACTTTAGAGCAGGCTAACCCCATATTGGAATCTGCCAAGGATATAATCAGTATTGAGAAAACGAGCACCGGCGCAAATGATGAGGAAGATGTGTAGGCCTTCATAAAATTAAACTAATTGTAAAAATTAGAGATAGGTATTTCGCGGTCTTGTTCAATTATAGATCTCTGCCATCGACGGGGAATGTCGAGGTACAAGAGCTTCAAATTTACTGAAAACGTGCTACATTATATAATAAAACTGAAAGGAAGCTAGGCATAGGTTCTGGATGAATCGCAAGGTAAGCGCATTGTTTGCTCGTGACAAAATACTTTAGTGAATTGTGTATATAATAGACCAAACATTAAGCACACATACCGATTTAACTTTTGTGACCCTTAGTTATATTGAAGAGTAAGACCAGCCCATAAAGGATCATTTAACCTGATGCACAACAAGTTGGTTATGTTGCGAACCCACAGACACGGTTGTATCTATACAGCATGTCTCTTATTGAGAAGGTATCAGCAGAGCCATTGTTCTAGCGAGTTTATTAACTTTTGAAGTTCCCACTTTACCCGTTGTCTGATGCAGACTATCACCTTCGTCTTCTGTTCTCTAAAAACCGGACTGAGTATCGCAAGGTTGTGGCGTCCCTCTCGGATTGCTTATTTACAGAGGATCTTGGTGAAGCCCCAAGTGTTCACTCTCCTTAGCATGTGTTATCTGTTCATCTTTCGCAGAGGTATCCTCTTCTTTCCCTGTTTTTGGATCTCCATCCGCACCTCTTATATGTATAGATATAGGAGAATGGTCCGAGCCTATGAATCCTAAACGTTGTGTGCCTCTTCCTTCAATACTCACATCTTCTATGCGCTCTAGTAAATTTGTAGTTCCTATGAAGTGGTCTATTCTCATACCCTTGCAGTGGTATTTGCCTTCACCTGAGCATTTCAATGAGATAAGGAAGCCAAATTACAATCGGGGATATCAGCAACCGTCAAATGGCCAGGTGCGCATATCAGCCAGAGGTTTTTAACAATCTGAAGCGATTTAAATCCTAACATCCACTGTGCACCTTGTGCACCTTCCAAGACACGACACGCACTATTGCAGACTGTCCTGACCATGAGTGGAATTGTACTGAGCGACAAGGGTGCGTATGCAAGAATGTAAGCTTCAGATCACAGATACATGCGCGATAACCTGCAGTACACATAGATTTTGCAGTGGATGCACCGTAAAACATCCACAAAAAAGGGCATTACAACGTTCGGTGCTAATTCTTACCCCCTCTCCAACTATACAGAGGATCTTGGATTCCACCGGTGTTTGAGGGATGCTTGTAACGGTACAGATCAACCATTTTTGCGGTGTCTAGGATTTCTTGGAAGAGTTCGCGTTCCCTATCTGTGCAGCCTGCCTTCGTTGTGGTACAGTGTCGAATAGTTCGTATTAGTCATCGACTGTGTATGTGTGCTGGCCATATAGTATTTGATTGCGAGTGCTACGCTGGCGTAATTCATAATATGCATTGTTGGTGATGAATGAAACCACTGGGGTGCAACTCAATATTCATTGCAACCTCCCGTACATGACGGCGTGACAATCGCAGATACGCACCAAAATAAATAAATTATAACATTGACTGCTACCAAACTTACGTATACAGAGATAAATATAACATTAACTGCTACCAAACTTACTTATACAAAGATAAGAATTTAATATCGTTCAAACTTAGTATGATCAAGATCGATGAAGCAGGAAGAATGTACCTATACTTTAAAGCATTTTGAAGTATGTATATTTGTATGCCTATCGAAGGGTCAATCGTATATATGTATATATACACATCCATACACACACACACACACACACATACACACACAAGAACACACACACACCCACACACACAGAAACACACACACACACATACATATATACATATATATATATATATATATAAGACACACACACATAATATATATATATACATACATACATATAAATATATATACGTAATACATCGATATATATATATATATACGTAAAACATCGATTTAT